CAACTCTACCCTCGCCTATCAGTTTTTCCATCGTACCTGTTCTTCTAGCATTTGTTCAAAATACTGCAAATATCTCTGTTGTATTTGTTTAAGCAATATATCCTTTACTTTAAGTTATTCTAATATCGATACGTTAGTCCTATGATCAATCCAGGATATTCTTAACATGCGGCGGTATACCCACATTTCAAAACCGTCTAATTTATTTTTATCCGCTTTCTTTAAGGTCCATGTTTCGGATGCATATGTGGCTATGGGAAAAATGAATGCCCTTACCAGCCTTAGTTTTGTGTGTATGGTTATGCTAGAATTTTTCCAAATTGTTACCAGTTTCATCATAGCTGTTCTAGCAATAGTCAACCTTCTACGTATCTCTCTGTCACACCCTCCGTCATTTGTTATTAGGGACCCCAGGTATATGAAACTAGTTACTACTTCAAAGCCCCCAATTTCTTTAATGTGTTGAAGACTATTCCGAGCTCTTTCTACTATCATGATCTTTGTCTTACTCATATTAAACTTTAGTCCATATGTTTTGCTTTTCTCCTCCAAACATCTCATTATGTCTTCCATTTCTTCTTCATTTGCCGCGATTATTAAAGTGTCATCAGCATATCTCAAGTTACTGATTTTTTAACCTCCTACTGATATTCCACCCTTCCATCCATCTAATACCTTTCGCATAATGTATTCGATGTAGATATTAAACAGAGTTGGCGAGATTATGCATCCCTGCCTGTGCACTTATTATTTTCATATAGACTTCTAATTAGTTCAATTAAGTGGTGGGGTGTTCCCATTTCCGCTAGTATGGACCATAGCTGCTGCCATTTGACTTTATCGAAGGCCTTTGTGTAATCCACAAAGCACATAACCATAGGAATATTGAATTCGCGAGTTTTTTCGATTGACTGTCTGACATTAAGGATGTGTTCTCTTGTGCCTTATCCTGGGACAAATCCCGCTTGTTCTTCTGATATCTGAGGCAATAGAAAAGCTTTTATGTCTTATTAGAGACTCATATTTTCACTACTGCATAATAATCCGCCATTTTATTAATGGAAAAAAAATTAAATACAATTTTGCATATTTTACATTCTCGTATACATCCATCTATCGTCAAATTATCCAATGAACACCTACTTCCTACATTTATGGTAATAGGCTATTGATTAGGTTCAAAAATATGGCTAAAAGGAACTACAAAGTTAAAGGAGTTTTATTATTTTATATGGTCAATGAACCCCAAATATAAAAAAAAACGCGCAGTGCTACCATTTAAAGGTGTGCGTTTTTGAGGAACAGGTGAATTTATCTCTATGTACTAGGGTGCATTTGGGTAAATTCTGTGTAGTTTTCGTACATATACATCTACATAAAAGTTGTTCCAAATAAAATTTCCATCGAAATGTCCTTTAAAAGTCAAAAAAAAACAGGAACGTACGCGATTTTTTTTGTCCCATAACTTTTTTCGCGGGGATATAATAAGCATTACGGTACAGAAAAAAACTTCACTTTAATTCGACAGTAAAAATTCGATAACTTTTGAACAGAGTATCTTATCGACAAAAATCAAAATGGGTGTCAAAGATGAGGTGTGCAGTTTTCGTAAATAATTTTTCCATTTTGTCGTAAATAGCAAAAATTGTGAACAGTAGAAAACTTTGAAGAATCTTGCTTAAAATTAGTACTAGAGTCTTCTAGAGTAGACTATTTTAAAGGTAATTATTTTTTCTTTCGATTTAGTGTATTGCATTGCATATACCTTTAACAGCATACAAGAGTTAAAGAAGTTCAAACGATGTTTTGAAGAGAAAGAATAAAGGTTTTTTTAAGTAATGCTTATAACTTTATCCCCATAGAAATGAGTTATGAGGCAAAAAAGAAAAATCACGTGAGTTCCTGTTTCTTTTTGATTCGTTTTTGAATATATTTTGTCAAAAAAATTATTTTTAACTTTAATCGGTGACATTTCGATAGGAAATTTAATTTTGAACAACTTTTCTGTAGATGTGTATGTATGAAAACTACATAGAATTCATCCAAATGCACCCTAGTGCACAGGGACAAATTCACCTCTTTAAATGGTAGCACTCTGCGGTGTTTTCATATTTGGTGGTCCATTAACCATATAAAACAATAAAACCCCTTTAACGTTGTACTTTCCAAAGTATATAATCAATAGCCTATAACAATTTGATAAATTCTGCATTCTTAAATCCCTCTACTAACTTCGCTCACTAGATAACAAAAAACTAATTTTATTTTATAAAAACAAGACGTTCAAAACCATGTCTTATTAAGTAGTTATTATACAGATAAATTTTTAATTGACTAGGACGAATCATTAATATTTTTGGAATTAAAACGCTGTTAAATGTTGGAAAAAAAAACTAACAGTATAATTAAAACGGAAGAAATTTCATTGCCTTTATCGATTTCTTTTAGTATCCTCTAGACTGGATTATTTGCTGCGTTACTGCCGCTTCTGCTCTGATTAAATTGGATTTACCTATACAGTGTTTCATTGTAATTCACGAGAGCATTTTCTTTTGCTGAAACAATTAAGTCGTTTTCAAGAATAAAGTAAAAATTACAAAAATCATTTGTTTACTATTTTACTGTCTTAAGTAACCGTCTTTGACGTATTGTATGCTGTGAATTACTTCTTTGATATAAAAAAGAAAAAGCTTGGAAAATAATTTAAAATATTGGCTGGTGATAATTTTATTCAGGGGTTTTAAAAAAATCAATATGTACTTACTAAAAGCCTACTTCTTACAATGAAACTCAATTTTTCTATTTTATCGGAGATAAACCTTTCCATCACCTTTTCGTTGAAGTTAGAAATTTATCTGACTCAAGTTTTTTCGATAGAGAATATGGCAAGGGCCGTCAGTTTTTCTTCCGACATTGTATTCCATATAAATATCTTGATCGATTTGAAAGTGGAGAAACCTTTCAGTTTCTGTAGTTGTCATTGGCATCGTTATTAAAATAATTAAAATTTTACTAATTTCACAAAATTTGGAACCAAAACTATAGAAGATATTCTTCAATTTTAAGTAAGTAAGCAACTGACTATATTTTCGTTTTATTGTTTCATTTCTAACAGTGAATAAAATATCAATTCCAATTTCAGGACATATTTTTTAACCATTGAAAAGGCATTGCAGAAGATATCTATGTCTTCTAAAGGTAGTTTTCCTACTGTTCATAATTTTCTCTTTGAAACAACTTTGCACCAGATACACTGGCCCGCAAAAGTAACCAGACATATAAGTTTATTTTAATTAAACTAATGAGTTTTAGGAAAACTTCAAATCCAATAAATTATTTTCTATGTATGTTCAATAACAAACCATAAAATAAAAAAGCAAAATCAAAAATATTGCCTAATGTAGCAACAAATAAAAATGTTCAGTTTTTTATTCCTCAGTAAGATATTTTTCAAATCAAAATCATAAGATAGTTCTAAAATATGGAAACTAAATGCGATTATTTCCTCCTTGAGCTCTAATAACAGCTGTTATCCTTCCTGGTATATACTGGACCAAAACAGAAATATCTTATTGTGGTACTTGTTCCCAATCGTTTATTAGCGCCTGTTCTAAGGCTATTAGTTTCACACTCGACATAATTTTGCCTAACTACCCTTCCCAAGTTGTCCCACAAATGGCCTATCGGGATAAGGTCTGGACGGCGGAAGTGTAGTAGGTTTTCGAACCGGACCCTCAGGGATTATAATTGGTGACCCCTGCTCTAGAGCACTTGCAGGTCGTTCCCTTGATCCTCTTGCGTAAGAAACAGTTGCTCGAAATCTTTGTAAAACATCATAAGTTGTGCTTCGCTGAACTTCAAGCACATCTGCAATATAGCGAATGGAACGTCCATCATTATAAAGAGCAGGTGCTTGCCTAGCCTCATTACAAATTAGTTTTTGTTATTAAAAACACTTTGCTTTACCAAAAACGCAGCCAACATCTACCACAAAGGAATACAATCAATTTATCAAGCATTATTATAAGTAAATATTCAAATTAACGAGGGCACCCAACAAAAGCTTTCTTTTAAGTCACAAAAAATAACACTTTTTAACTGTTTAAAGTAACAAACCAATGCACAAAGGCAACTTATATTTTGATGAATATATTTAATTATTATACAGTTCAATTCAACAAAACTAAAAGAAAAAAACTATGAAATTTCATTTATCCTGTTACTATTGTGGGTCAGTAGATGAATTTAAAAGCAAACCTATCCTTAATTTGAAATATATATTTACAAGTTTCTCTCGCAGATAAACTCAAATTCTCCTTATTTTGTACCCATCTCATCTGTCTCCTCGTATTTAGGATCATTAAACAATTTGACAAATAGCGACAGCCTGAACTATGATCACTGTGATATTTATTTTAGAATTTCCGGACTCAATATTTTGAAAACATTCCAGGATCCTATCTCGATTTTTAAATACAGTTTATACAATTTATGTTTGTTTCATAAAACATTCATTGTTGATATGCCACATTTTTTCTCAATTATCTGCCGATTTTCTTATAGGTTAAATTTGATATTTTTATACTTCTAGTTTGGCCAATTAGTTAATTGACTTTTTGAGTATTAAATTTAAATATGTTGTCAAAATGGTATATTAATGAAAGCAACAATTTTATCTGTTAAAATAATTATGACATCAGAACTTTTGTCACTATATTGTTTTTTTTTTAGATATATGTATTTCTTGTAAATACTTGTATTTCTTGTAAATACTTGTGCTGCTTGCCAATTACAAAAGAAATTGTAGGTATTTCATTGTTTTATGACACATGCTTGTAATTTACACAACTAAGATTGATGTAATAAGAAAATATCTTCCGTTTTAATATAAAAAACATATGTTTTACTATTATTAAAAAATGTTCTTGTTTACATATATGGTTTATATTATAGTTAAAAACAAAGTGTGATATAAATATAAATATTTTAATACTGATTTTTATGAAAATAAACTAGTTCGATAATATTAATTTATTTGTTTTATTTATGTACACTGAATATTTTTACTGTAACAGACTAAAAACAGTTTTTGACTAATTTGAAATCTTATGTTGTATTCAACCCTTCTTGGAAAGTAAGTGTTTTGTTGCTTTGGGCATCTTTTTGTAACTCTGCAGCTTTGGTTTTGTACTCATTGGCTAATTTTTCATTTTTCTCAACTCCTAAAATTTGAAAATCATCTTAAATTTGTTTTCTTGCAAATTCAACTGCATTTTGATATAACACTAACCCTCCCCTTTTGCATACATTTGTCCTAAATTTGCACAACTATACATATTCCCTAAATTACAACCTTTCACAGCAAATTCAAATGCCTTCTTCATATTCTTTTGTACTTGATAGTCTTCTGGGTTGTAATCCTTTTGATTAAGAGTACCTGAAAATCAAATAATATCTAAAATGTAACTTGGTCAAAGTTTTAAAAAGAAAAAATGAAAAGGAATTATTCTTAAACAATGACAACAGATTCCTCACCTACAACATTGTCTTTCTTTACACCAACTATGTACATTCCTGATAAATAGTAGCATGCATTGCCATTTTCGTGGTTACAAGACTTTTCCAGCAATTTCATACCCTAAAACTCCAAAAATAAAGACAATGGGGTACTTACTATAAAGTTTTATGAATAACATTGTTCATCTGGCTAAATTACAACAAAATGAACCAAAAATATCATCCTCCCGGGTGCTAAAGTTAGATTAGAAGATTATGGATTGTAAATATGGCCAAAAATGGTTTTACCTTTAAAATATCTTGCTTTATTTCAGCTTTTTCATTTTTGGTTATTAAAAGTAATCCTTGATTTAAGCACGAATCAGGTTCGGCCAAATTGCATCCCTTCTCGAAATAATCATAAGCCAATTTAAAATTAGATATTTTTGAACCTTTTCCCAACAAACTGTAGGTCCCATACTTCAAGCAACTTTTGCCATATTTATAATCATCGCAGTTTGTTCGGTAAACTTTTCCTGCTTTTTCATAATCTTTTTTTATTGATTCGAGAAAATCAGCCAGTAGGTGACAAACTAAAACAAATAGTATAAAATACAATTTTGTGTATTGTGTATATAAATACCTTCAGGTTTCTTTTCACTGTAACATCCAAATCTGTATTCAATTCCTAAATTGTTAATATAGTCTTTAACTTCACTTTCCGATTTAAAATTATAAGCCATTTTTCAAATTAAAAATAAATTTTAGTTGACATTTGCTTGAATATTCTGCTTTTACGTGAATATTTTGCTTATATCTGCTTGAAATGAAGAGAAAAATACTAACCTTTAAATTTATTTTTATATTTGAACTACTCCTTTGAAACTAACTTCACTTCACTATTCTACTATTATATGCCTACTTTTTTCTATCCAGTTTATACAACCACATTTAGATTGCAATAAAATATATAATTTCGAAGTGAAAAATAAATAGAAATATAAAGAGATCCTAATTTTAATATTGATGGAATTCAAATAAATCCATAAATAAAAATTGGATATAATATTGTTATAACATTGTTTTAGTCCATAAATGACATGATGTGTGTATTGAGAGGTATTTTGACACATTAATTAAAAAATAAAAATAGAACTAATCATAACCTAGCCACCTGGCCTGGATGGCTAAAAACAGATGATTTTAGAGTAATTAGTAGTAGTTTAATGTCTGGGACGTTGATCTATCTATGGAAATTGAGAATTATAAGTAGAGTATAGACTGGAATGAAAGCAGTGTTCAAAATATCGCGTTACTTTTACCTAACTCAATTTAAAAATACCAATTTAATCCATCAAAAATAAGTATCAACCAACTGTTAAGTTAAAATAATATGCACAAACCATGTCGCCTCTCAAAAAATATCAAAATTGTAGAAAATACCTGGAAAAGGATTATATTATGAAATTAATTTTTGATCCTCATTATTTATGGCCAGTATGTATTGTTTTGTTGGTATTCGAGTTCCTGTTAAATTTCATGATAATTAATAGAGTAAAATACACAGAAATCGATTGGATTGCTTATATGCAAGAGGTTGAAGGATTTCTTAATGGCACATTGGATTACAAGGAATTAAAAGGTAATTTATTATTTATATAGAGAAAAACTCTAGGTGCAAAACCAAAAATTATACAAAGTCAATTTATCTAGTTGTTTTGTGATAATTGTTGACATTTTAGACTTTAATGGTAAATTAATGTCTTCAAATGGTATTGGATTTATCTTGTATTAATATATTTATTTTTAGGTGATACAGGACCTTTGGTGTATCCTGCAGGATTTGTGTACATTTACACACTTTTCTACTATGTAACATCAAAAGGAACTAACATATTGCTAGCTCAATATATATTTTTATTTTTATATTTAATACAAACATTTCTAATTCAGCGAATATTTAGAAAAACAATGAAAATACCACCATATGCTTTAGTTATAGCAACTTTGACATCATATCGAATTCATTCTATATTTGTCTTGAGATTGTTCAATGATCCTATTGCTGTACTTTTGTTTTATATTAGTTTAAATCTCTTCATGGATGATCAATGGATGTTGGGTAGCATTTGTTACTCAATAGCAGTGTCTGTCAAGATGAATATTTTATTATATGCTCCATGCCTTCTATTAGCTTATTTAGTAAATTTAACCTATGTAGAAACTTTCATTAATTTATTTATTTGTGGTTTCATTCAACTTCTATTAGGTCTTCCCTTTTTATATGGGAATTTTGTATCATATATTAAAGGTAGCTTTGATTTGGGGCGAGTATTTGAACATAAATGGACTGTAAACTTTCGTTTTCTACCTAGAGAAGTTTTTGAAAATCGAATTCTACATATAGGTCTTCTTCTTTTACACATATTACTTCTGTTGTTGTTTTTGCCACATTTTAGGAGATATTTAACCAGCTATGCTAAACTTAATGTGGTGACTAAAGAATATAGACTGCATTTATTAAAAGAAAAACAAGAGACTGAAGAAAAAGAAAAGAAGGAGATGAAAAAAATGTCGAAAGGCCAAAAAGCTTTCCTCAAATCTTTCGAGAATCAATTAAAAGATAGTGGAAGAGTAAAAGAAGAGAATGATTCTAAGTTTGAAGATAAGCTTTCTAAAATAGCTCAATTGTTTGTACTTCCATTTTTTGTTTCCAATTTAATAGGAGTTGCTTGTGCTAGATCTTTGCATTATCAGTTCTATAGCTGGTATTTTCATAGTTTGTTATATTTGGTCTTCTCTACAGAATATACTGTACAGTATAAATTTTTGATCTTGGCATTGATAGAATATTGCTGGAATGTTTACCCAAGTACAAATTTTTCAAGTGGCTTGCTACATTGTTGTCATGTTGTCTTGTTATTTGGAGTTTACAGGACAATGAAGAAATAAATCAGTGGTAATGAACAAAATTAAGTTTTTATAATTTATATGGCATAAATGTTGTACCACAGTGTTGTCAAGTTGTTAAAAAGTGTTTATTTATTTTAAAAATCTTTTTCCTTGGTATCAATATATAAACAATTTAATTATATGGTTGTTTTTGGGATTTTTTAATATGATTTACAAAAATTATTACTTAATTGATGTGTAAATTTGTAAATATAGATATTTATTTTTATCTGAGAAAACAATAAAAGATATAAACACAAAACTGTGTTTTGCTTTGTTTTTAATTTTTTCCTCTCTAAGGAAAAAAAATTGTTTACAGATGTCAGCAATTTGGGTGCACCTGAAAGCAGATTAACACTTTTTAAACCAATTAAAGCAGTTCTTGGGTACCTGCCACTTTACAAAGAATGGGACGGGTACTTGAACAATTATAAAGTGGATTAGCCTGTTGTTGCATGTTTCTTCTATTGTAATGTGGTAGCACGCATATGAGTGTCACCCTTGGCTACATCAAGCTACATAGCGCATGTAACAGAGGGGTAAAGAATTAGAACAGATGCTATATGACAAATATAGAAAAATGGTACTGTCAGCTTAGGCCACCTATGTGGGGCTGCTTTTTTGACACAAACTGCAAAAATTTCATTGTCTGCTTTTAAAAATATTGTACTTATTCATTTTTTCGTTAATTATTAATAATTAATAAAAGAAAGTACCATTTATAACTATTTAATGTCAACTGTATAAAAATATATACAAACACACTAAATTTGTTCATTCTCATACTTCGATGCGATTCCAGACCGCCCTTCTTTGGCCAATTCCACTTCTGTTTGGCCTAAGTTTTGTTCTAAACCTTTCCACATCCTTTTTGATAAATATCCAGCTCCTGAATTACCAAGAGCTATTGTCCCATCATTTTTTACAGCTACCGTTTGATCACCATTATTATTTTCTACCACTTCGGGATTCAGCACCCTTACTTTATTTGTTAATAAACTTATATCTTCAGTTTGCTTATAAGTAGTTGATATATCACCACAAATGTCCAGATAATCATTAAAATCATATGAAAATTTGTGAATCCATTCAGGGTTAGTTTCTAAGTCTACATTTAGAGCAGTTTCAACATCAAATGGAGTAGCTATCGGTTTATAAAAGTCTCTCCTATCATAGATTTCACTCATCGAACATGCTATAACTACATACA